TTCTCCTCCTTCTCCTCTGCCTTCTCTTCTGCCTTCTCCTCCTCTTCTTCCTCTTTCTCCTCTGCCTTCTCCTCTGCCTTCTCCTCCTTCTCCTCCGCCTTCTCTTCTGCCTTCTCTTCCTCTTCCTCCTCTTTCTCTTCCACCTTCTCCTCCTCCTTCTCCGCCTTCTCCTCCTCCTCCTCCTTTTCTTCCTCTTTCTCCTCCTCCTTGTCTTCTACCTTCTCCTCCTCCTCCTCCTCCGCCTTCTCCTCCTCCTTCTCCTCCACCTTCTCCTCCTCCTTTTCTTCCACCTTCTCCTCCTTCTCCTCCTCGCCGTCCTCCTCGCCGTCCTCCTCCTCTTCTTTTTCCTCTTGAATCAAGGGCAGCTCCCTGGGTTGGGGTTGGAGACAGGAATGAGCCCCCCCACAGTCACCCCAAGTCTACCTCCTGCCCCTCCATTTCTGTAGAGTGTCTCACAACTCCCAGGACCAGACCTGGACTCTCAAGCCAAAGCTTGACGTGGGGACCCCACCTGCGCAGCGCCCTGGGGCACCCCCGTGCTCTCTCTAGTGAACAGTCCATTTCACTACATGAGGGGCCTCTCCCAGCCCCCATGTCCTGTGGTGACCCTCAGTCACACCCTGAGCCTCTCTGAGCCTCAGTTTCCCCATCTTATCTTGGAGACCACAAACCTCCTGGCTTGAGTAGCTCTCACCAGCACTGCTAGTGGGAACAGAGATTGTGCCATCCCTACAGAGGACAATTTGGCAGTCACTACCATCGTTCCCATGTCCAGTGACCCAGCATTCCCCCTGGAGATCCACCCTGCGGAGGTGTGCATGCGTGTGCATACACATGCACAGATCCACAGGAGAGCTTGCCGCAGATTCGTTCATGATCACAAAATGTGGGAATCAATTTCCTATAGTTAGATCCCACATATCCCCCCAAAGCCAGGTGTTAACGGCTTGCTTCCCAGACTGAGGCAATTGAAAGGCGTAGACCCTGAAAGGGGTGGGGCCTGAAGGGCAGCCTCAGCGCACTGCCTGTGTGTAGGGAGCCCTATCCTCTTTTTTCTCTTTCTTTTCCTTGATGTGAATCAAATGCTTTTGTCCAGCTGCACACTCTCCACTGCTGAACTGCCTCACCAGGGGCCTGAAAGGGTGGGGCCAAACTACCACATTCTGAAACCATAAGCTAAAAATAAACCCTCCCTCTACATAAGTTCATTACCTCAGGCATTTTGTCACAGTAACAAAGCTAACACAAACCCAAATGGCCATCAGTGAGGACAGGTTAAATAGATTACAGTATGTCCCGATGATAGACTACTATGCAGCTGTAAAAACAATGAGAATGCTCTCTAGGTATAGAATGTGGAAAGACCTCAAGGTATATTAATTGAACAAGTACAACAAGGTGCAGATATGTGCATATGATGTGCTATCTTTTGTACACAAAAGAAGAGGGGATGCATGCTTGTAGATGCCCACACTGTCTCTGGAATGGGGCAGAAAAACCCGGTAGCCTATGTGCCCATGAGGAGAGATGGGGGAGGCAGGGTTGGATCCTCTCTATGCATTTTTTTCTTTTCTAGTACTGGGGATTGAACCCAAGGCCTATGTACTAAGCTATATTCCCAGACCCTTTTTATTTTTTATTTGGAGATAAGGTCTCACTAAACTGTTGAATTATCCAGCCTGGGTTTGAACTTGCATCCTCCTGCCTCAGCCTCCCAGAGTCCTGGGATTATAGGTGTGCACCACCACACCCAGCCTCTGTGCCCTGTTTTACCTTTGGGATTCTGTACCGTTGCTTCATTCGTTTCCAGGACTTCTCTGGCTCCTCACCTGGGCATTTCCACCACAGCCTCGTTCTCTTCCTTATACACAGGAGCTGTCTCCGACCCCTGTGGGCTGGTTCTGCCATCCTGCTCAGCGTCCTCCCAGTTAGGGTCAACCTCTTCAAGGATGAGGTCAGGCTCCCCCTGCTCCGTGGGGAGGATGCTGACTGCAGGGACACAGAAGAGGCCTTTATGGGGTATGGGGACAGTGGGCTTGGGCCATTGTACCCCAGGAACCCCAGACAGAGCTTTGGCCCTGGCCAACAGCAGATCAGCTTCTAGCCAAGCAATGGGCAAGGAGGGCACCATGGCTAGTGCAACCACTGACCACTGGGCCAGGGCTCGTGTGATGGGCTGAAGCCTGTAGCCATTCACCTGTCTCCTTCCATCATCGCCTCCCTTTTTCTCTTGAGACAGAGCTTTGGTTATGGTTGATCAAGTTTGTTGCTCACTGTGGCCTCCTTCTTAGAAGTTTGTGCTGGAGAAAAAAGTACCCCACACTATAGCACTGCAGGTGGTGCCAAAAGACCCAGCCCGGGTCCGCCTTGTCATACCCAGGTACAGGGTGGCCCTGGTGACAACATGCCCATAAGCTCAGCACTTGCTTCAGGTAGTCCTTCCTGAATGCCTGGCCCTAGTAGCCCCATCTCCAAGGGAATTAGAATTTCTCATGGGTGGGTGGGAGGGTGGGGCAAATCCCACCTTCAGAACAAGTCTGATTTTCCACATTTCTCCATGCACCCTGACCCTGACAATGAGAACACCTCGGGCCTGTAAGCTTGGCAAAAATGGGTACAAGAGAGTCTCATCCCGAACCCAAGCCCACCCCGGGCATTTGTCAGGGAGCAAGGGGCAGACTTTCTGGATGCCAAGTGTCCCCCAAAAGTTCCAGTGGTCTTGGTGGCCCTCAAACGGAGCACCAATTACAAACAGTGACTAAATAGAAGCTGGCCTCGAGTCTTTCTTTGTGACTTTGAAAGTTACTGCTCATGGTGTAGCACGATAACGAAGACAGTAGTAACAAGTAGAGCTACGTTCCCAAGCCGGGCCCTGTGCTGAGTGATTACAAGGGTTAACTCCATTAGCGTGTCGGATGAAAGAAGAGAGGTGAGCACTGCCCTACACGAGACGGAAGAGGCCCGGGGCCTGACCACACGCATACGGTTAGGGCATTGCCACCTGCCTCCATTAGTCCGCACAGCAACCTGAGATGCGAATAATTACTATTCCCATTTTATTTCTATATTTTGTGTCTTATCCCTGTTTTTTGAAATAAGCCAACTAAGAAATAGAGGATCACTTTATTTTATGGGGTGCTCCCCATGGGCAGGGCCTGGGACTCCCAGCTTCCAAGTACAGATATTATCCCTGCTTCCCAGGGAAGCTCCCTGCACACGCTGAACTACGTCTTTCCACAGTGCGTCCCGGCTCCTCCGGCTCTACAAACACCCCAGGCCTGATATCCTTGGTGGGTTTGAGGGAAGTTCCTCCGACCTCAAATCCAGAGGAGGGGCGTGTTGTATGTGTGGTCCTACGCTGCGGTCTGCAGTGGTGTAGCCTCTGCACTCCAAGAGCCCCTCAGGGTGCAAGTTGCTACCTGGGCACAGTAGGGGACAACCAGGGTACAGAAACATTCCCAGCCTGAAGACACACTACCTTTACAGCACCCAGAAGAGAGAACAGTAAGTACTCTGTATTTTAGAGACCAACAAGCCAGGCCAGCTACACAGGAAGCTGGAGGCAGAGCCCAGGTGTCCTGACTCCTGACCCCATGGAGCACCGTGCCAGGTGATAAACAAGCCCAAGTGTGCCCCACTGGCACCGGGAGCCGCTCTGCACTGGGTGCCGTCCTGAACAGTGATGTTGTCCTTGCTTAGCTGCTTAACTCTTTTTTTCAATGCTGTGGGTGAGAGCTTTCATCTCTGAGCAAACCTGCCGGACCCACCCGAGACTCTTCCCAGTTTACAGCCAGCTCTGAGAAGAGGAGGGTGCCTGAGGTCCCCAGCCAGGAGGGAAGGGTGTTTCGCCACAGGGCCCAGGCAAGGGCCCTGCAGGACTAGGAAGAAGTCACCATCCTCCCCTGGAGCTCTAGACCCTCTGCAGAATCTCCTGGATTCTCCAGGACCCCCCAGGAACTCAGATTCTGGGGGCTCCAGTTTACAAGGGAGCTATTGCTCCATCCAGGGTGGACACTTTGCTTCTGTCCCCAGGGCCATTGAATGCCATTCTGACCCCTGCCAGTGAAGGCGAGCAGTCCCACGACGGAAGGAGCCCTGTCTCCAGGAGCAGCAGGTGGAAGCCCAGTACATAGGTCCTAGGTCACCCGCAACCCCCAGCCCCAGACCCTGGGTCACTGACAAAGAGCACTGGCCTCTCACCCACCGGACATTTCTAGAAGTGAAGGCCCCAGTCCCTCCCATCTCCAGAATCACACTCTAATCACGAGGTCTAGGGGTGCAACACTCTTCATAGTTGCTCCCAGTTGCTTTAGTTGCTTTGATGGCTTTCCCTGCTTCCGATGCTTGCTCTGCCCCAGTGTAATCTTTGTGAAGTCACTCCCTCACTCAGTCACCTGCAATGGCTCCCCGCTGCTGGTAGCCTAGTCTCCTCAAGTCAGACCCCAACAATTCCAGCTTTACCTTCTGTATCAAGGACTTGGGGCTCAGATTAGCTGAACTGCCCAGCACTCTTCCCTGACAGCTCTTACCTGCAGGCATTTTCTCGCTTTATTCCCTCCATTGCACTTGTTCTCCCTTCACTGCCAGGTTGAGATACCAGGGGCTCAAACCCAAACTTAAATAGTGGGTACAAATGAAGGGGCAGTGCCACTGGTTTCAGTCTGTTCTCACAAGCACAGTGCGGGCCCCTTACAGCCAGCCCTTCCCACCTTCTGAGCAGGTCAGACTTCTTCTATACAAAGCCCAGCTTTAAATATTCACAACTAATTCTAATTTTTAAAAGCACTCCTTTGTCCAAACAAAGGCATCAGAGCCAGCTGGGATCTCAGGGACCCTGGCAAATTCTTCCCTTCCTGCAACCCCATTCCCACAGGGCAAAGCCTGTGCGGTCCACCCCTTTAAAACCTACACATTTGGTTCAGCCTTATTCCAAGCAAGAAGGTCATGCAATCCCAGGTGAGAAGCATTAATTCGTGATTTTTAATGTCAGTTAGATGTTTGCCACTGTCACAGGTAGTGCCCTCGAGTCCCTTGAGGAAGAGAATATGGTCAGACCCTAGGAGGACCACTTCGGGGAGAAACTGGGTCCCCAAAGGGTGTGCAGCATGCTCCAAGGGAGGTGCTCAGTGTGGAGACCTGCGTGGGGCTGTGCACGGCCTTCCACTGAGGACGTCCTCCTGCTGTGTAGCCTAAGTCTCATGGCTGCCCACGCCCGGCCCTCCTCTCGCTGTGGTCTGGTTGCTGCCTCTTTGCCAGGGAGCCTGAGAGGGGCCTCTGGGACACAGTTGGGAGTGGGATGGGACCCGAGGTTCACAGCTCAAGCAGCCACCTCTCCCCCTCCCCGTGACAGTCTTCTCTTCAGGGTGTCCTTCTCTCCTTCCAGCCATCCTTCCGTTTGTCCATCTGTGCTCTCCCAGATCCCCTTCTCCCCTGTTTCAGAGGCTTCCCGTTGCCACCACCCCTGAAACAAAGGAGAAGACAGAGTGGGTGGCTGGGTGGACAGGCAGAGGGCTGGCTTGCTGGCTGCTAGGGGAGGCCGGGGGACAGAGTGGGGAGAAGAAAGGCACACTCATCCCCCAACCACTCAAGTCACCCCAGGTAGGGGCTGCTAGTGTCCTCCCCAAAGATGCACCCAGCCCTAACCCTGCTACATGAGAATGTGACCTTATTTGGAAATAGTGCCTTTGCAGACGTGATTAAATTAAGGATTTCAAAATGAGATCATCCTGGATTTAGGGTGGATCCTAAATCCAGTAACAGCCGTCCTCACAGAGGAAAGGAGAGGGGATGTGACACAGATAGAGGAAAAGGCCCCATGGAGGGCCTGACGGAGGGTGGCTAGAGCCAGGGCACCCTGAGGACGGCCAGCAGTGACCAGAAGCCAGGAGAGGACAGGCAAGAGTCTCTCCCTCAGAGCATCAGGAGGAGCCAACTCCGCCAATGCCTGGATTCTGCACTTCTGGCTCCCAAGTCCTGAAAGAACACACTTCTGTTCTCCTGAGCCAGCCAGCTTGTGGTCATGTGTTACAGCAGCCCCAGGAGACGAACCTACCCATGCTGCAGGCCCCACACTGTCTGTCCTCATTGCCGTCCCATGCCCACCTGTGACCACATACTCCAGGACCCGCAGGGAGGCCCTGCCTACAGCAGGCTGAAACCGCCATCCCCTGGGGATGAGACAGCCTTGCATTCACAGTGGGGAACAGCCCTGGGACTCCCTGACCTGGGGTTGGTGGCCCTGTCTGCAAGATGGTATGCATGCTACGACCACCTACAGGCCCTGAATCCTGCTTTGCTCACTGCTAGAACCCATCACAGACCAGCACACTGTGGGCTTCCCATTACGTTTGTTGAATGAATGAATGCCTGTCCACCACATGCCTTTCTAGAAGAACAGATTCTGCCCCTTGCCCTCCCCACTTGACCTTTACCCTCTATCCACGAGCCCTGGCTCAGGGCTAGGGAAAAAGGCATCACTACCTCCCCAGCCCAGCCACAGTGATGGGGCACCTGCCGGCTCAAAAGCGCCGGCATCTCTGGGACCTCGTTCCCCCAGGGACACGTTGTCCCCCTCCTCCCCGCCGACCAGGATGATGCCTAGCCAAACTGACTCGCCCAGAATCCAGGGGCCAGGGCTACTCTCTCTGGTGGTGCCCGCAGGAAGGGGCTGCCCATCTGGGGGCTGCTTTCTCTGGACAGGTGCTGGACACCAAGCCTGAGTCATTCTGTCCCTGGACTAGGCTCTGACTATCAGCACAGGCTGACCACAGGAGAGACCCACAGGGAGGGGGTCCCTTCAGCTCTAGGTCAGAAGACCCCAGCTATGCCCCACTGTTAGACCCAAGGGCACAAAGCAACCTCCCAGAGATGGACCCAAGGATCCACTAATGTGTCACTTACTGGTCTGCACGTCGCAAGTTCCAGGGGAACCAGGGTCCTGCATGGGGTAAAAAGGGAAGACACTATCATGGCTGCCTTGCTGGCCTCCCACCTGGCTTTAGCCCTCTGCTGGCACACATGGGGGCAAGCCTAGGCTTCCTTCCACCCCCACCCCCCACACAGCCACCCTCAGCACAGGAGCCAGCCTTGAAAGATAGGCTGCTGGAAGGGCCCGGATGTGGAGTCCAGACACTTGAGTTCTGACAGCAGCCGTGTGACCCTGAATCTCTGGGTCTCCATTGTCCCATGAAATGGGGAAGAAAGTCCTCACTGTACTCAGAGCCAGTAAGGGAACTGATGGAGGGGGTGGCTTGGTGAAGCGGGGTGGGGGTGCCCCCAGATAGCCACAGCAAGGGCACCTGCTCAGAGGAGGGAGGGACCCTGAGTACCTGAGTGGCACAGACCCTGGCCGGCCCTTTCCCTCTCTTGGGCCTGGACACCTTCCCTTACAGAATGCTTTCCTGCTTTCTCACAAGTCTGGGCGGTGGCAAGATTGTTAGCCCATTGCTCTGGTCTAACAACTGAGGCTCCCAGAGTGCCAGGGCCAGGCTAAGGTCACACAGCCAGGACTGAGAGCAGACCTCCCACCTCTGCGCTCAGGTAGTTCTACAAAGATGTCCAGCTCTCCCCAAGAAAGAAGGGCCACATCCCAGGATCTTGAGGTGGAGGGGAAGGATGCAGTGACAGAGGCCTTGTTGCCCCCACCCACTCATGTTGGAGCCCTAGGCTGCCAGGAATTCACCCAGGACCTGCTGGCTCCTGTGAGCCCCACTTCATCCCAGAATATCCAGGGCCTGTCCTATCTCTGGGCCTTTGCACATGCTTGGAGGTCACCTCTGCTGGGAAGCCATCTTGATGTTCCCAGGAGGCTCTGCCTCTGAGCTCCACACTCCCTCTGTCCCCCAAGAAGCACTGTGAGCTCCTGGCAGAGGAGAACTGGGCCAACATTTCCCTCCCTGTGGCCATGGTGTCTCAGGCAGTGCATGCGGGATGAGTGTGTGCCACAGGGACAGGCAGGCGGCGGGGCTGTGTGCCCACCGCAGGCTCCCTTCTTCTTGCCGGCCCCCAGAGCCCCAGGCCGCCCATCTCAGCCTTTGCTGAGCTCCCAATCCCCCCACTTCCCCACCACACTCCGGACCCAGCCCTGACCTGCTCCGCAGCTTTCCCGTGGAGCACCGGCTGCGGCAGGGCCATCTCCAGCCTGTGCAGGATCCACGCTATCAACCTGCCACGGAGAGGGTGGGCTGTAGTGAGGTGGGAAGGCTCATGGGGAAGCTGAAGCCAGAGCCCGCAACCCCAAGCCCCCAGGCAGACAGAAAGATTGACAAGAGCCGGAGCCTGCCAGAAGCTTCTACCCAGGTCTCCACCTCAAGGGCCACTTCCCCCGTCCCCATCGTCCCTAGGTGAGCTCAGCTAGAGCTCAGGCCCCAGCAGGCAGCTCAGCAACCCCACGCTGCACCTCACCCCTGGAAGGGCATTCCCGGGCTCTCGGTACCAGTGCAATCGCTTGTCAACAGCCATCCTGATTTTACATTTGTAACCTTCGGCCCGGCAACTCCATTTCCACGGATTTATTCTACAGATTTACTTGTACGTGACCCAAACAAGGCACGTACAAGGCTAATGGTTGCAACAAAAGGGTGGAAACAGACCGAAGTGTCCCCTGAGAGGTTAAATGAAAGCTGTTACGTGCATACGATGGAGACCCATGCAGCTACTGAGGAATGGGAAGGAATGGGAAGGTGACCTCCGAGGGAGGTTTTTTAGCTGAAGAAAACAAGGGAAGGTCAAGCGTGGGCAGCTTGCTGTGTGCTGAAAGGAAAAGCGCCCTCATGGCTGGGGGTGTGGGTTGGGGCAACCTTGGGAAGGACCGGACTGCTGGTGTGGGTATGAGGGGAGGGCCCTGGACAGCCTGGTGAATTTTCCCCCAGGTGCATGTGTTAATTTTATAATTTGAAAAACTACTTTTGTGGAGATTAGGTGTTAGCCTGGGCCAAGGCACCATCTTGCTCCTTATAGGAGGTGCAGCTTTCAGGGGCTCACCTGGCAGGGTCCCCGGGGGGTGGTAAGGAGGAGGCCTGGAGGCTGGGCTGAGGCTCTACAGCCGGCTCCACCTCAGGCTCCAGGGGCCCAGGACTGGGCAGGGAGGGGCTCTCGGTGGGCTCCATCTCCACGGCGGGTCCTGGAGGTTCTAAACAGCAGGGAGAACAGGAGCTAAAGACCCCAGGCAGGACTGTGTTCGCCCTCTCCAGGGAATAGGGTGCCAGATTGGAAGCATTAACATGACTGGGTGGGAAGCCCCTTGGGACCACCCCAAAGACCCCTAGCATCTAACAGACCAGGAAGGGGAGGAGACTTGGCAAAGACCTCCCGAATGTGCGCCAGGACTCCGGTTTCCCAGCTTTGGCCAGGGAGGAGGCTCTAGTGCCCCCCCCCATACAACAGCCCACTCCTGGCAAGCCCCAAACCGCTCTCTCACCTGGGACAGGGTTAAGGGCCTCCCCCAAATCCCCCAGGCCTGATTCCTCCCAGCCCAGACTGTGACCACACTGCTGCCCCCTCCTAGGTTCACTTCCTGTACCTGGGTCCAAGACAGCATCTGCAGGTTCAGCTCCACAACCCTGGACACAAACAAGGAGCAAAGTTATACGTCATAGGTCATAGATCAAAGCAAGCCCTGTGCACACCACTCCTGGCTTGAGACCAGTGCAGGGGCTCAGGGCTGCCCCTGAATCTCCCATCACCGGGTACTCACTCCCCATCAAGAAGGCTCCAAGAAGGAGATCACCCTGTGGTGGGGTCCTGGGCGTGGGGAGAGCCTGCTGGAGTAGAGGACTCCCTCCTGGAGAACCCCTCCCAAATGCTCAGCTGTGCACCCCTCCTACTCCACACTCACCTCCGAGAGTTTTGGAGGCTGAGGCAGCACTTTCTCCAGATTCTGCTCAAGCCACCTGAGCAGCCACGGGCCAGACCTGTGGAGGGGCCATGGGCATCCTGAAGGGAGGAGCTAGGCATACCATCCTGACTGCCCACTGGGGGCCTTTGCTAGCCCTTCCTGGCCCTGGGCTCCTATTCTGCAGTAGGGCCTTGTGCTCAATGCTCTCAATGCTCAGAAGGCAGGGAACTCCTGCTAAGCTGAAATCTAGATCCAGAGCTGGACCAGGTTCTGGAACATCTGATTCAGCCTTGGTTTCCTGAGGCAGCAGGTGAGGAGTGGGAGCTGCTTGGGGATCTGAATGTGGCACAGGAAGCTCCCTGTGACAAAGATAGATAAAGCATCATGGATGTATGACCTGTACAATTACACACAAGGCCCCATACTTAGAAACATCTATTTTGTGTTTAATACATGTTATGGGTTGTATCTAGATGTCCCCTCAAAGTCCCATGCAGTCATAGGTGGGGAGTTTTGAAGGTTACAGGATTAGGGCATGTGAATGTGGATTAAGGGTGATATTGAGATTAAAGGGGGTGGATATGGAAGCCCCACCTTGGATGTGGGTGGCACCAACCAATAGGCTTGTAGCCTGTATAGAATATAAAGGCACAGAAAAAAGCCAGGTTTCCTGCTGACTGCTGCTTTTGCTGCTTCTACTACTTGCTGCTGCTGCTGCTGTTGCTGTTGCTGCCTTCTGCTTGCCATACCATGGACTATTTCTCCTCTTCAATATTCTTCTGCCATAATACCCTGCCTTGGAACCAACTAACTATAGGCTGAAACCTCTATACACTGAGTGCTGAAATAAATCTTTCCTCCTTTAACTTTGGGTGTTGGATATTTTGTCTTAGCAATGAAAAAAGTAACTAAAACAATGCACTACTGTCATAGTCTGAAAATTAATATTTTTAAAAGTAGCCCAGTATTTTCATGTTGCACTGGATGCCACCAATTACATGCTTCCCAGGGCAAATGTTGGGTCCCATATCTAGCTGGTCTCCTGCAAGCTCCAGCCTCCCCAAGGAGCTGGACATTCCGAGGCCAATCTATCCCCCTAGGGATGGCCCAAAAGAAAGCTGGTAAGTCTTTCTGGTACCCTCACCCTAAAACGCTTCAGTGGTGCCAGGAATCAGCCAAGCAGCCCCAAGAAGGAAGTAGAGGACCCAAAGAAACAAGGCTGGCACAATGCATGCATGGATAGAGCGTGGGGTTGTCTGTGTTCATCTATTCATGTGTCACACGTATGCAGAGTCCCAAAAACCCCAGCCTCAGGGTCAGCAGCCTAATGAAAAAATGAAGGAGGGAATGAATAGGTGGGGTGGCTGGAGATGAATGCTTCAGGCTTACTTCAGGGGCCCACAGTGTCCTGGAAACTTCTGGATTAGTTGGCAACATCTAAAATGAGGATTTTACTTTTAAAACCTTGATTTCTGGCTTTCTTACAACACCAAAGGCTCTGGCCATGCTGGTCCTACACTCCTACTGAGGCAGAGGCAGAGGCAGAGGCAGTTGGAAGTGAGCAGGGCCCCCTACAGCACGACATGGGCTCCCCCACTCACCAGCTGGACACCTTCACTGATGGCAGCCACCCTCCAACAGCTCTGAGGAGTCAGACGCTGCTGGGGACTATGAGGCTGATGCAACTGAGCGCCCCAGTGTCCCCCATGATGGCCCAAGCTCTGCTTCTGGCCTCCACACAAACCCTACCCACATGAAATCCATGGGCAAGGAGCTTGTCTATACCACTTCTGCCTTCTTAGAAAGTGGCCCCAGTGAGGGTCTCCAGTTAGGGTCACCACCAGGGTGACCAGGGTGACTACAAGCCAGGGTTGCCACACATGGACATCCTCCCCAGCGTGAAAGTGAAGTCCAGAAGAGGGACGAGGCAGGTGCAAGGTCACACACAGAAGTGGCAACAGACCCTGCTCCTGAGCCCAGAAGCTTGGCTGTGGGGACACTGCTTGGCCCACCCCCACAGGTGACAGTGACATGCAATGACAGGGACTCACCAGGCGTCTTGGGCTCTGGGGTCCCCACTAGGTCCATCTGCAGTCCCCACAGGATCAAAAGATAGAGAAGGGCAGGGAGGGAGAGATGGGGAAAAGTTGATCAATGGGTTCTGAGCTGCAGTTAGACAGAAGCAAGTTCTGGTGTGCTCTACACATAGGGTAACTATTGATAGCACAGGTCCTGTCTCTCACACACCTCTGCACACCTGTAACCCCAGCAGTCTGGGAGGATGAGGTAGAAGGACTGCAAGGTTGAGCCCAGCCTGGGCAATTTAGCAAGACCCTGTCTCAAAATAAATTTTAAAAAGGGCTGGGGATGTAGCTCAGTGTGAAAGGCTTGGGTTCAGTCCCCATTAGCACAAGACGTTTTGTTGTTGTTGTTGCTGCTGTTGTTGTTGTTTTGAGACAGGGTCTCGTTATGTCGCCCAAGCTGACCTCCAACTCGTAGCAATCCTCCTGCTTCACTCTCCTGAGTGCTGGGATACAGGCATGTACCACCATGCCTGATGTACAAAACTTGTTTCTAAAGCTAGAAAAAAAGGGTTTTGAATAGTTTTGCCATAAAGAAATGAAAAAAATTTGATAGACCTATTACAAAAATGTATACATATAGCAAAGCATCACATGGTACCCCATTAATATGTAGTTTTTATGTTTTTAAGTATCAGTTAAAAAACAAATTCAATTAAAAATAAATTACAAAGTTAATAAATTAAATAATTTAATACATTACAAAAGCATAAAATCAATGAGAAAAAGAACATAGAGAAAGACTGTCACATGCAAGAGACCTTTCTGGAAACTTCTCGGAGCCTGGGCAGCCTGGAGCAGGAACCAGAGAGCCACTCCAACTCAGGTCCAAGCCTAGGAGGCTCTGGCCAGCAGGGACTCTCTCGAGGGGCAGGGCCCATCCCAACTGCCCCTTGGCTCCACCCTGAAAGTCACCCTGCCTCTTGGCCTTACCTGTGTCCGCGGTGCTGCAGGGCCCAGTGACCGGTGCTCCATCCTACTGGGACAGACAGACAGACATGGCAAGGAGCCCAGCAGCAGCCTCCCACCCACCCCTCTCCAGCCAGCCCCTCGTTGGCCTCCAGCCCCTGCAGTACCTGAGCTGGAGGCCCTGTGTCGGCAGCAGCATCCTGGCCTGTCCGGCTGCTGAACACAGGCTGCGGCACAACCTTCTCGACACCCTTCCTGAGCCAGGTTGGCACCCAGCTGCTGGAGCTGCCAGGACACAGAGACAACCACCTACCCTCAGCCCCCAGCTGCCTGGCCTGCAGGGAGGCCCACAGTATCCCACAGGACGCTGCTTGGGTCCCAGACCACTGTATCCCTACCGGGAAACTTCGCATACGTCACCTCCCTCTGAGCCTCGTGCACCTCTCTGAGAAATGGGGGACACTAGTGCCTGCCTTTGGGAGGTCAGGTGCTCCCGGTACTGATCAGAGCCCACCCACCAGCTGCTCAGCACAGCGCAGCCAGCCTGTCCTGTCCTCATCCCATCACCTTGGCTCCAAGCCCCAGCCTTCAATTGCAGACTCGAAGCTCCAGAGGGTCTGTGGGGTGTACCCCTGGGGTGCTCGCCTACATGTGAGGGGCTCAGACTCCCTGCCTGAGGCCAGTGCCAGCCTTAGCCCTGCATGTGCTTAGTGGGAGGAGCACCACGGGCCACAATATCTGAACCACCGAGGAGATTCCAGGCACAAGTGCAGGTTTCTAGTTTTGCTGGGAAAACCAGAAGCAATGAAACCAGGGAGCACTGAGACAGCCCTGGGCTCCTGAGAAAGCGGTCTCATTACCGCAGCTCCAGTATCCATTTCTCTAGGTCAGGATGCCCATTTGGTCCAGGAGACCCGCATGCTCCCCAGAGCTCTCCCCAGCCAGTTCCCAGGATGTTGCAGGGCCTTTGCTCACACAACTCCAGCCCTGGACGAAGTGCCGCCCTCCCCTCCACAGTAGCTCACTGACTAGGAGGGGAGTGGGGGTGCCAGCCCTACGGAGAGGGGGTGCTGAGGTTACCTGTTCACAACGGGAATCACTGTGACCTGGGCCTGGAGGGCTGTGGGCGGAGGAGGGGCAGCCTCCTGGGTCTCTGGAAAAGAATGCCCCAGACTTTAGACCTAGGCCCTCAGAGAGGCCCATTTCTATCCCACTGGGGAGCTTGTCAGAGGCAGGAGAGCAAGGAGACCCCCAAGGTTCAAAAGGCCAGGCTCGGCTCAGCTGAAAAGCCTCCAGGAGCCCATCCCAAGCCTCTCTGTGTCTCGGTTTCCTCATCTGTGCAATGGGCTGACACGAGGCTCTGCTGGGGCTTCCAGCACTCACCTTGAAGGCCAGGGTCAGCTGCAGTCACTTGCTCCCCATGAGATGGTCCTTCAGATGGCTGGAGGGTTCAAACAAGACCGTATAAACTGTAGGTAAGACAGTCTGATTCTACAGCCCCCGATTCACCCCAAGGGACCCACAGCTCCCAAAAGGCGGAATGGCTCTGTTCTTGGCCATCCCTATAAGTCCTGGTGGCCTCACTCTCCACCCGGTATGCTTCCTTCCTCCCAGCCCTAGGAGTCCCACGCCCAGAACAAGATCTTCACTCCCGCCTCTCAGGCTCCCAGCCCTATCATATCCCCCAGGAAGCTGAGCCACAGCAGTCACCTGAGAAGAGGGAGGAACAGCTAGTTATGAAGGCCTGGAACAAGCTGTGGGGAAGCGGGAGCGGGAGGAGCCATGCCCTCACCCAGCCAGGGCCCACCGTCCCGCTGGTACAAACTTCCCATTCCCTGCTAGCAGCCAGAGTTCCGCCTCTGCCCTCTGCCTCTGCCCTGCCTCTGCAGCCACATCGCCTGCTACTGCATGCACCTGTGTGCATGCACAGAGAAGCATGTGCACACAAATATGTGCACATACTTCCACATGGACTTATATGTGTGCACAGACAGACGAATGTAAGCATATACACATATAGAGGTATATATGCAGTGACACAAATACATGTATACACCATATAGAAGCGAGCGCATATGCACACATGTGAACACATGCAGATGCCAAGTGCACGCACACCTGCATATGCACATATACACGTATGCACAATGTACACATAGCAGCACATTCAACCAAGCATATATACACATGCATGCATGCATGCATGCAGACACAAATGTATAGACCTGCCAGTTTAGACATACACACATGTGCATACACATAGGTACATTTCATGTCTCTCTCTGTATATATACATACATATGTATATACATAAACATGTATCTACTCAGTATGCTCAGTCATATAAGCAGGTATATGTACATGTGTGTGTTTGCAGACATACAAATATGTGCATATATATGTGTATATATACACACACAAACTTCTGCATTTACATATATGAACATACATGTATGCATAATGTATTTTACAGAGACATATTAAACATGTACATGCACATAAAACACATGAATATATTCATATACTCAGAAATTTGCGTAGACATACAGTAATATGTCACATATAAACATGGAACCACAGACACTCTGACACATGTGAAAATGCACATAAACATATGTACATAAGATGCACGTAAATGCTCACTCACTGGCTGACATGCTCATATGTGCACACAGATATAAACCAAGGACACACTAAACACATGTGTACATACACGTGTACATACACACTCCCCATGCTCATTTCCTAAACATGCCCTGTACTACCCTAGAAACAGCCTTTCTTCAACCAGGAATGCCCAGCCTCAGCACCTCCCCAGGTGAGAATTCTGCCCAGCTCTTAGCGTCTAGGAAGCACTTCCACCTGCTTCCAACCCCCAGAGTGATGACTGTCTTCAGAGCTCCTAAATTCTCCGTCTGACACACTCACTCGCCCTTTCGGAAGGGAGAGCGGAGGCCCAGGTTGGGGCTCACACATTCCCTTGTCACTCTTGTCTCCTGGCAGAACAGGCTGACTGGGTAACTGTCTGCCGGCCCCAGGGCCAGTGCCTTATTCAGCTTTAAGCCCTCAGCAATGAGCGCAGGACCCAGCATCAACTGGGAGCTAAGTCAAATCTGTTCACCTGAGCTGCTAAAGGAGTCGTCTTCTGGCTCATCATGGAATGCAGAACAGCAAGTTTTGATATGCTTGAAGGGAAGTCCTAGAAAATGCTCCTCAAGGTGTGCTGTAAGCACCAGTGCCAGTCTGCAAACTGTTACTGGTCCACGATGATGAAATAGTTCCCACAAAAGAATGTGTATTGACTCCCTGCTTCCTTCATTGAAGAAAGTGTTACTACCAAACAAATACCAACTGAACTAACGGGTACCTAGCTACTCCGTAAATTTACACAGCAGATTTTATTCTGAGTATGTTCCTAATCTCATCATAGACTGAAGATAAACGGTTCACACACTGGGTCCTTTGAGTGGCCCTGCTCTGGACTCTCGAGGTGGGGGTGGCCATATCCAGCATGCTTTTCTAAAACAAAATTTTCTTGAAACACAGCTATGCTTATTTGTTTGTGCATTACCTCTCGCTGTTGCTACACTGTAATGGCAGAGCTGTGGGGCAGAGGTGGCACGACCCACAAGGCCTACAGTATTTACTATCCAGCCTTTTGTAGAAACTACCCTGAGCCAGCTCTGTCCTCTCACTGGCCTGAGCATCCTCATGCGTATGAGTGTTGGACTAGCCAACTGCTCTGACTGGCTCCAACTTTTTTTCTCTGTTGTAGACCCATGGGAGCAGGGGCCCAAGCTCTAATCCCCAAGCAGCAGCTCAGCCTCCCCCTCCTCACCACTCTCATGCTCCTGCTTCTCACCATGGACTCGCCCTCTGGCTCGGCCTTCTCAGGGGCTGCTTCAGGCTCAGGCTCTGGCTCTGCCTCTGGCTCCAGCACCGGCTCTGGCTCTGCTTCTACTTCCTCTTCTTCCTGCATCTTGGTCTTCTGAGGGGTCCCCGGGGGCTGAGGCAGCACTTTGTGGACCCAGGCCAACATCCTGACGCCTGTATGGGACAGAGCCTTTAGATGCCAAGTGCTCACCATTATTCCCATATCTATGGGCCATGTTTGTGGGTTTCACATTTCTTTTTCTGTTCATCATCTTTAAGAAAATATTTCTGCAATTGTATGTCCAGGTATTTACCTTACAGGATTACTCAAGTATATATATGCATTTATCTGCAGGAGGGGCATGTATTCGATAAATTGCAATACATGCAATAATGGAATACACAGACCCATTGAAAAAGAAGAAGCAAATCTGTTAGAATCAATATGAGAAAATGTCCATGCCCTGGAGTTAAGTCATGTGCAGATCAATTTGTTAGATTTTCTGTGCCTCAGTTTTTCTTGTCTGTAAAATGGGGACATTGATAGTAACCTCTCTCATGGGCACATTGTGAAGATAAACTGAACTGATAAGGACAATGTAGTCAGAACAGCGACTGGCACATGCTGACAGTTTCATAAAAGTTGACCGGGACTACTATGTGGTGTCAAGTGAAAACACTAACCATGTACTACATAATCCCGTGATAAATTACAAATACACATTATGAGTAACATATGAATGGGAAAAATCCTTTTCTTAAAATAACATTTATGTTAACTTATATTTGTGATTTTTTAATTTTTAAATAAAATGTCAGTTTAATCTCTTTGTCATGGTTTACAGTGACATTTCAGTGCTACCTTATACATACATGTTCAGTTCCTGGCTTTTGTATCTTCAGCAAATAGGGACCACCAGACCATGTCCCTGTATCTCAGCCAGCACCATGTCCCAGCCAGCACCATGCAGGTCAGTATATGCACACTGCCAGTGCTGGGTATCCCCTCCCAAGCTCATGATGGGCATGGGCCTGCCCAAGGCCATGGCTCTCTGCCCTTCCCTGGCTGCAAGGCAGCAAAGTGCAGGCCCAGGGCCCAGCTCCCCAGAGTCCCTGGCCATGCTGCCTGACCTCTGCAGTCCAACTTCTCCTGGGAGAGTCCATGGTGCTTGCAGAGTCCAGTGTGGGGAGGCAGATCAGCCTCCAAAAGGTGAACGTGGGCCAGACATGACCCCTCTGGACTTCCTCTTCCCTGCTGGGTGGGGGTGTAGACACCATGACCTCCTGTGCTGGGAGACCCCAAGGTCACACATTTGGGTTGGCAGATTCCATGGACCTCAGCCAGCCACTGAGAGCTCCAAGAGCCAGAACCCTCTCCCTGCCTTGCTCGGAACCATCCTCCTTCTCCTCACACCACACCCCTGGCCCCAAGAAGATAGACAAGAATTTCCATCCCAGAACAGAGTCAGGTCAACAGAACTGCGCAAGGTGACAGGGACAGAGAGCGGCTAAGCTGAGTTTGCGCTCAGGTCTGCCCAATTCAGGCTGTCCCACATCTGCCCCAAGAGTACTAATGTTTGTCCAGTGTTGGCCTTTTCAGCAGGCTAGACCTGTAGGTCCTTTCCTGGCCAGCAGCAATCTGGCTTGCACTTCTGAACCTTCTAGAAATGATTAGGGAGGCCACCTCCAAGCCCAATTGTTCTTATTCCCCTAAACACAGCCAGTCCTCCTGGATGGGAACTTTGGTGGCTGCCCCTCACCCCCCTTGCTGCCATGTCCCAACTGACTCCACTTTGATGAGGGAGGCTCAGGCCAGAAGAGGATCCGGAGGGTGGCAGCCCAGGGAACTATGGTGTTAGACTACCAGCATTTTCAGAATCTCCTGGGGACCAGGAGAAAATGCAGATCCTATGTTCCCCACACTGTTCTGAGGGTCCTGGAGTCTACATTTCATAAGCTGCCCCAAAGATGCTGAGGCATGCTGAAGTTAGAGCTCCACAGAGGAGAGGGAAGCCACAGGTGTCCTTCTTTGTCTAGTTCATCACACCAAAATGTCTTGCTAGTTGCTGAGCATGGGGCTCCCAAAGTTACCTGCTCAGATGCCAACCACCAGCCAGGAATCGTCCTCTCGCTGCGACTCACAGGCGGCCTCTGGGACACATAGGGATTAATTAGCTACAGCCAGGCTGTGCAAAGGATTAACGGGCACTGAAGTGGGGGCAGGGTAGAGAAGAGGCCATTGATGGCTGGGGTGCCAACAACAACCGCCAAGCAAGTGTCCAGCAAAGATCTGTGCGCCAGGTTTGGTCGCTAGGGAAGCTCCCCGGGTACCAAGGCCTGGCTCCCCATATGCCTTGGCCAAGCCACTGCACTCAGTGGAGATGAGCCACTGCGGCTGCTGGGAGACCAAGAGTCTGGGGTCCCGTGTTGTTCTGGGAAACTCCTCAAATTGCCAGGGTCTTATCAACTCAGCAGGGCCAAGGGTGTACCACAACTTTCTAGCCCTTTGCCAGGTCCTTTCCAGTCCTCAACAGGTTCTTTCTAGCTGGAAGTCTTCAATAACTCAAGTTCTTCCAGAATGGTCCCAAGACAGGGCCATGGTCTCAGGACAGAGCTCTTAGCTCAAATCTTATTTATCAGGGGGTTTCTCCAGAGAAACAGAACCAATAGAATATGATGTCTCAGAACCAGGCAGGCCCATGGTATAACCCCAGTCCAAGCCTCAGGCTCAAGAGCCTCAGGAGGACAGCTGGTACAAGTCCAGAATCCAAGGGCCAAAGAACCTGGAGTCTGGTGCCTGAGGGCTGCAGCAAGAGAAAATGCACCCCACTCACAGGGGAAGAGCCGGAGGGTTTTCCCCTCCTCCACTTCCTATTCCGTCCAGGTCCCTCATGGACAGGATGACATTGAGGGCAGGTCTCGCCACTTAGTTTGCGGACCCATGCACCAATCTTCTCTGGAAATACCCTCATGGACACACCCCAGAAGTATGCTTTACCAATTCTCTAGCCAACCCCAGTGCCGTCAAGTTGGTGCCTAAAATTAACTATCACAGGTTCCAAGGACTGGTGGATAGCAGACTGCGTTGAATCTGTGGGGAACTGTGTGCAGCTGGACCTCAGGGGAACCAGAGACCTAGGGAGGAGGTGCAAAGGGCAGGGACCCTACAAGAGGGACCTTGGTGGGGAATAGGGTCAAGGGGTGCTCAGCAAAGGGGCAGGGACCTGACCATCTGCAACATGTTTGGATCTCTTCCCATGTGCCTGGCGGCAGATCAGCTTTAGCATGTGGAACAGAACAGGCTCGGGACCTGCCCTCACAGAGTTTGCATGCCAGTGGAGGAGGCAGAAAGGGAGATGAATGACAGAAAAATAGTGCAAAGTATGCTGAGCCAAGACAGAAACCAAAGTGGCAGAGATGCATGTGACGTGAGAGGCAGTGGGGAGGCAGGCCTCCAGGAGAAGTAGATACTTGAGCTATGAAATATGAAAAGCAAGAAGACTGGGCTGCGGAAAGATCTGGGTGGATGGTGAACCTGGAAGAACAGAAAGGCAACTGCAGGCCTGGAGTTCAGTGGGTGCAGGGCAGAGTGGTGAATGGAGAGGTTAAGAAGTGGTTGGGGCCAGATCAACCTCATTAGGGTTCGTGGATGGACTGCCAAAGCCCATGGTCTCACTCCATTCTGGAGGCTGTAACAAAACACCTTGGCTGGGGCAATTTATGCAGCAGAAATGTATGGCTCACAGTTCTAGGAACTAGAGAGAAAGGCAGGTTTGTTGCCTGGCAAGAACTCGTCTCTCCTGGATGGTGCCTTCTATGCATCCTCACATGGTAGAAGGGGTGAACAAACTCCTTTGAGCCTCTTTTATAAGGGCACTAATCCCATTCATAGGGGTAGAGAGCCCATGACCTAATTACCGCCCAAAGGCCCACCTATTAATACTACTGCATCAGAGATCAGGTTTGCACATGTGAATTCTGGGGCAGAGGGGGCACACACATTCAGACCACAGCATGTGTGATGGTGTTGAGCAAGATTTGGAAAGAACATGTGTAGTGTTTTAGAGTGGTAGATGTGAGAGCAGAAGCTGGCCAGGAGGACAAGCTAATTTGTGACTAGGATACCCTGGGCTCTCCCTCCAGAGCCGGGCTTTGAGACGCCTGATATGCAGCCCCCAAGGCCAGTGGTGTGGGAGAACATTCTTTCCGCCAACAAGACCAAAGCCAGTGGCAAAGCTTGAGGTGGTTGCAGTCCCTCCCCTGTTAGGATCCCAGGTTTCAGCGGCCACAGCTTCTCTTCACAGCAATTCCAACCAGACCTCTGCGAGAATGGAAGTCAGGACTCCAGTTCTTCCCTGGGCCTGCAAGTGGCGGCCTGTGTCATCAGTCATAGTCACCCTTGCCTGCAGCCTGACAGGGAGCAAGGACAGCATTTGGCTAGGCTGATGCGGTAAAAGCTGGAGGAGAGAAGCGGGAGGGCAAAGGGAGGTACTGGGAGTGTTGTTTGGGTAACGGTGCAGGTGGCACACTGGCCAGAACCAGGACAAGGGATGCGGTAAATGCCAGAGGTGTGACAATGTTGGTGGGGGTGGTCAGAGGAGATCGCCACCTCAGCTGAGACTTGAGATGTACACCCCTGTGCTCCACGGGGGAAATGAGATAGCTGGAAACCGAGGGAGTAGCGGAAGAGGGCAAAGGCAGGTGGGCCTGGGTGCGGGGTACTGAGTGCAGATAGCACAGCCTGACTTTCCCCAGCGGGAGGAAGCCTGGGGGTGGCAGGCGGTGGAGTATCACCTGCTAATCCCTGGCCTGCTGAGGCCACAACTCTCCCTGATCCTCACGCTGAGCCTGGGTACTGGCCACAGCTAATCTCCGCGCCTATAGCCCCAAGGGCTTGCAGACACCGCAAGGTGCTCTCCCCTGAGGTTTCAGCAAGGGGAGTCCCACTCAGTTCCTAGGCACCCTAATGCAAGGCCTAGGGTCCTTGCCTGTCACAGACAGGAGCCTGGAGGCACAGAGAGAGACAGTGACTAGCTCAGGGTCACACAGCCTTGGTTAGGCTCAGCAGTCATCCCTGGCCTGCCCTGGCCTGGCCACCTCAAGGGACCCCAGCTCCCTCTCTGACATTTTCCAAGATTCCTGGCTGGTGCTGAGTCCCCGGAGGAAGGGAGCAC